TGGCTGATAATGGCGGTGAGTTGAAGCATGCAACAAAATTGGCTCTAAGAGCATCCACAATGGGAAATTTAATGGAAGAGTTGAATGAGGTGTGATACCTACTTGTCATTCAATGGATACAACTTCACCATTGTGAAATGTCACATTGGCATTCAATAGATTTGAAGTTTAATGGTCACTGAACTCTTCAATGGGAAAAAAGAAAGTATTTAAATCTTTAAATAAATATTTTTTTAATATGTTTCATTGAACTTGTAGAGTTTAATGCGTTGTTGGATAAAAATTAATAGAGTTGTATGGAATAGTGAATGATAATGTAACAATCTATTGAACTCTATAAAGTTCAATGCATTGTGGATGCCTTAAGCGAGCAACATACACAAAGAAGCTCCAACCCGGGCAAAAAACTAGAAATGGCTATTGGGCAAAACTTTGCATGTTTATAATTGTGTTAGTTATTAATATATTTATATAATTAATGAAATTTCTAGTTTATAATTCATATTATGTAATTTTCTTTTAAATTAATGGAATATCTAGTTTTATATAAATTAAGTTGTTTAATTAATATAAAAAAACATGGCATGACAAATCATCCCCTCCACATAGAAAGAAATAAAATTGGTGTGACAAAATTGAGGAGTCTTTAACATGGCAGGAAAAAATAGTGTCGTATGTGAAGCACCATTCCTTATGGCCTAAAGAATGTGATGGCCTCGTTTGAGTACCTTTGGGCATCTAATCTAGCACGTTTAGCTAAATGGTGGTGACTGACTAAATGCCTAAATCAGACAGTCATTCTATTTGGGCAAGAACTATTCGTGATTCGGGCAATTTATAACATCTTCGGACACAACAATAAACCAATGGCCAAAAAAGTGTCCTTGGAACTTGGTTTAATTTTGCTTCTATTGAAGTGGATTTTTCAAATATGGAAGGACATTTGGGTGGATGGCACCACTTTAAAAGGAATATATTCATGTCTATGTCATAGAAACTGAAAAACAAAATTTGCATTATTTGAAATATGTAACATCCCGAAATATCAAGAGTAGAGTTGAAGGGCTAAAAGAGTAAATTGGGAAAGAGCGACTCGGCGAGTCCATGTGTGGACTCGGCGAGTAGAGTTGCGACTTGGTCGCGTGTTAAGTGGCCGACTCGGCGAGTCAGTGTATTGGACTCGGCGAGTAGGCGCTGAGTGGAGAAAACCCTAATTCTCGGGGTTGAGCCTTATATAATGATCATTATGTCTTCCTCCCAGCCTCTTTATCACCCCTTGAGCCCCAGAAAACCCTAAATCGCGGAGAAGCACCATTTTTGAGTGGATTGGAGCTTGGAGAAGTAATGGTTGAAGGAATTTTGGGAAGATTGAAGGCTTGGAGCAAGGGGCTTTGCTTGGATTCGAATTACATTGCAGTTGGGGCATCACTTAGAGGTAGTATCTCGTTTTTGACCTGTTGATTATGTTGTTTCTTCATTTTGGGGTTTGTGAGAAATTGTCTATGGATGAAATGGGAAGTCTAGAGGTTAGATCTGAGGTTGCTACCTCAGATCTGGAAGGGAGAAGAATCAGAGAGCATGAAAGTCCCTGTGTTGGAGTGTTTAGTGAAGCTTGCATGTCCCAAACCCTAGCCTTAATGTGCAAACGGCTTAGATCTCTTTGGATTCACGTAAAGTTTGCCACTTTACGTGATGGATGAGTGGTAGGAGGCTAGATCTATGTCTTGGAGCAGTTGCATGGCCTGGAATGCTTCGGAATGTATTCAGACCGGCGGTACTCGGCGAGTCACATGGGTGGACTCGACGAGTTGGATGAAGATGGCCTGGAACTCGGCGAGTTGTATGAACAACTCGGCGAGTAGGTTGAAGATAGCCGTAGACTCGGCGAGTTTGTTCTTGGACTCGACGAGTCTTGACGAAGAGTCCCAAATATTTCCTGGTTGAGTCGAGAATCGGTGAGTCAAGGGATGACTCGGTGAGTTGGGTGTGAGTGGACTCAGAGTTGTGGGACTCGGCGAGTCTCGTGGTGACTCGACGAGTTGAGTCGCGATATGGGGAAGTTCTGATTATGGGAACTCGACGAGTCACAGGGTTGACTCGGCGAGTAGAGTCAGTCAAGGGTTGACCTAGACTGAGGACTTTGATTTCGACCAAGGGTTGGCCGTTGAGTTTTAGGGTTTGGACAGCGATGTGGCCTTTGGGCCAAGAGAGAGGTAAAATAGTCTTTTACCCATAAGAGGGTGTTATGAGAGGATTTATTCTAGCCTCGAGAGTTATATTCATGAGAGTATTTGCCTTACGTGTTAGGCGGTGGCGAGTTCGAGATTCAAGTGTGGGGATATCTGCTTTCTGCTTGCCAGGTGAGTCTTCTCACTATACTTTACCTTGAGTAGGTAACCAGAGTTATGTGATTAGAGTATTTGTATGCTATATGTACGTGATGTGTTGTACTGCATTATTTCTATGTGATTTATGTTGTGCATGTTTATAGAGTTGGAACCGGAAGGTTCCCAGAGTTAGAACCTGAGGGTTCACAGAGTTTGGGTGCACGGACCCACAGAGTTATAGCCTCGAGTGGCTAATATGTGTTATGTGTGGTATTTTGGGGAACTCACTAAGCTTCGTGCTTACAGTGTTTTGTTTGATGTTTTACAGGTTTCTTTCAGTATCACGGGACGGCACCTGCTTGATTGTACACACTAGAGAAAGAGTCATATTTTTGAGGATCTTGGTTTTCTATGCAAGTGAAAATGGAGTTATGTTTTGTAAATCGACTATGAATAAGATTTTAAACAAGTGTTTCTAAGAGTAAAATGATTATTTTAAATGAAAAATTTGTCTTGAAATTTACGGTGTTACAAAATAGGATCCAAATCCAATCAACTTATTGGTGAGTTCCCGTAATAGGCGTCTATCGGCTTTAACAAATGGTGTATTTTGTTATGTTTGGAAAGCATGAATTGTAACTCTATTCAAGAAATTGATAATACCTCCTATAAAAACGATGGAAGTATAGTTCTAGGAAGTTTTACTATCGATTTGTATTAGTGGTGTTTTAAGCACTTTTTCTTTTTTATTCGTCATTTTGTTTTTCGATGCAGTTTCTTGCTAGCTTTTAACTTAATAATATTTTCATTATATTGAAATCATTTAAGAGCTGATTTTAATGTTGAGGTAAATAAATATCAAGTTATTTAAAATAAATCAATATAAGACTTTTCATTTTTACTTTTCGAAAAAGAAAAAATTCCCATAGGAATGAATCTTTGTATGATTTTTTGTGAGATTTTCAATAGAATATGTGACAACCTACCCAAAATTTTACATTGGTTTTGTGATGTTTCTAAAGGATTGCCGAAGAAAATTGTTTGGGATGATTTTGTGATGTTTCTAAAGGATTGCCGACGAAAATCATTTGTTACAGACTTCTTTATGGCCGCGTTTAGTGACTAATTCCCGACGAAATTTGTGTCTAACTAGTGTCAAATTCTATAACTAATTTTTTGGTAAAATTACATATTTAAAAACCCTAATTAATATATAAAATGACTAAAAGCTCCCATAACAGTGGAGGTCTAATATTGGAGGACTTGACAATCGATTGTAGTTTTCATAATTAAAAGGGAAAATGACTTATGAAGGTAATTAACTATTTCTATTGTCCACATATAGGTAATATTCTTTTTTTCTATATTCTTTTTTTTGTTCTCATTAATGGAACCAACTTGTTAGTTATGTTCATATTTAGGTAATATCACCGTCTATTACCTGTTTTTGCTTATGTGGCAGCCATCTGGCACCTGAGTTGAATACATTGCACCTACATGGCATTGTGCTTATATAATCTTCGTTTACAGTATAAGAAGTCATTACACCCGATTTTGAACCCTAGATCGACGATGGCTTCTTCTTCCTCATCTTATTCTTCAAAACGACAAGATGATTTTCAAGTTGATCATACATGTGATTGCAACTTACCATCTCGTGTGAAGACTTCAAGAACCCTTGACAACCCTGGAAGAAAATTTAGAGTTTGTCAAAACTCGATGGTAAGCTAAATACGTTCCAACTTTCTTCTTCTCCATCTTGTTGAATACCATTTTTTCTTCATCATCCTTTAACCTAACATTTTTTTAATTTTTCTTCAAGAATGGAAAAAGTCCAAGCTGTAAATTCTGACAATGGCTGGATGAGGATGAAGGGAGGACAGATGGAAGAAAGCCTTACTGGAGGAAACCAGAAGAAATCTGTAATTTAACCTTGAAAATTTTCACTTTGGAGAATGAAATCAGCATATGTAGAATGAAGATTGAAGAAGAAAAGAACATCAATTTTGTTAATAGACAAGAATTGGACAAAGTCAAGTGGGAGTTGTTTACTCACAAATTGGCACTGATTTTGTTATTTGTATTGTATGTGAAAATGTGGATTTCATTGTAGTTCATGATGTATTAGGGTTGAATGATGTAGTTCATGATTGAAACATGACTGGTATTAGAATGATGTGGTCCACCTGTTATTGTGTATGGTTATGTATGTTATGAATGGATTGAATTTTTGTTACATGTTTTTGCTTCTGAAGTTTTTGTTACATGTTTAGAATGAAAAGTAATTTAACACTGGAATGGTATATATTGAAACATTGGGATGCAATATAATATAATCTAACATGGGAATGTAACATTGGATTCCATGAAACATTGTTTACAAAACAGTGGAATTTAACACAATTACAGATGCATTACTGCCAAAAGGTACACATATTACTAGACAAAAGATTCCCAGTCAATGATGCCAAAAAAACAACAAATTATCAAATTCTATTTCAATTCCATTGGTTTATCACTACTACTCCCCTCTTTCCCTTCCCACTTCTTTCTTATTTGAATTTTTGTGATTCTTTCTGAAGGTTTCCTTCTTCTCTTTCCCTGTAGAACCTGAAATGTTGGTACTTCCATCATATGCTCCTCTTCCACTTGATCTTAAACTGTAGCCTGTCCTTAGTCATCTTGTCCAACTGGATCTTGAATTACTTCAACTTCAACCTGTTCAACTTGATCTACATCTCCAGCCTGGTATTCACCTTCTTCAACTTCAACTTCAACAAGTGCTTCAACATGTTCTTCAACTTCAACCTGTTCTTCAACCCCTCCAACTTCAACCTGTTCTTCAGCTTCAACCTCAGGTTGGTCTACATCTTCATATGTATGATTACCCTCTTCAAAATCAACTTCATAAGACTCCACTTCACTATCAGGCTCCCTTTGAACTTCACTATCACTATCACTTTCCAAATCAACTTCTTGATTACCCTCTTCAAATTCAACCTTCACTTTACCTGTTATGAAATAACTCAAATGTTAGAATTAGAAGTTATTTTATTATAATCAAAAGGTAAATGAGGAGAAATACCTTTTTTGTTGGCTTTTTTATTTTTTGACTTTGACTTTGGATTTGAGGATTCCCCAATTGGTTTTTGAGGACATTTTGCTTTATTATGCCGTGATTCTCAATCTGATCCCTTTTCCTTTTTGTTGATGGTCTTCCTGGCATTCTTCTCCTTTTGGGAGGCAATGGCTTGATGTAATCCACATCATGCCACATATCACTACCATTTAGTGGCTTAATGGTGTACATGTAGGTATTACAAAACATTGTTGTGGTCAACCATGGTGATACATAGTCCTCTGGATCCCTATTGAGGTTTGAAATTGCAGCATATGCATGTACACAAGGGTAACCAGTTAACTGCCAACCTCTACACCCACATGTTTTCTTACCAAGGTCTACAGCATATGCATCTTGTAAAAGTCTCACGTCAAATTGTTGATAACCAGATGGTACAACTCTCCAAAATCTGTCCACATACACTTAAATGTAAGTATACACAATTGAATGTCAAACATATAAGATATAAGTATATAAAAGGTATTCAATCACTAACCTTTGAAGTTCCTTAATCTTGGACAATTTCAGTCTGATGGTAGGACATATGTTTAAGTCTCCCCAAGAACTTCCCTTAATTTTTTGTCTACACAGTCTCTCCATCACATAAATTCTAATTTCCTCTAACATAGTGATTAGAGGTCTCTTCCTGGCAGCTGCAATGATTGAGTTAAAACTCTCAAAAACACCATTCTCATATGCATCACATGCCATATCAGTCTGAAAGAATGCTTTACTCTAAGTTTTAGGGTCCTTCTCCATTAGATGATCATAGGCTAGTGGTTCTATCTTCTTTATTTCATTCATATGTTGCTCAAATTTAGCCTTGGTAGTAGAAGCAGCAGCTCTCCAGAAAAGTGTACTGAATTGTTGACCCTTGATTTTTTTCATGAAATTAGCACATATGTGTCTTGCACATTATCTATGCTCTGTTGTAGGTACCCTTTCCTTGACAGCCTCAAGTAATCTCTATCAGCATTACAAACAAAACATAAACTTCATATAAATTAAGTATTAAATAAATAGAGCATATAAAATCATTACTTTATGCTGGTCTGATATTAATGTCAACCAATATCCATTTCCCATTCCAATGTCATCAAGGAGAAGGTCAACAAACCACTTCCATGTTTCCTTACTCTCAACTGCAACCACAGCCCAAGCAAGAGGGTAGATGTGGTTGTTTGCATCCCTACCTACAGCAGCAAGCAACTGACCTCTGCAAACACCTTTTAAGAAGCAGCCATCTAGTCTAATTACCCTTCTACAACCTTTAATCCATCCATCCTTCACACCCTTTAAACATACATAGAACTTTGAGAAGTAAGTGGCTCCATCAAGAATGGCATCTACATCCATCTTCACTATTGATCCAGGGTTAGTCCTTCTTAGCTCTTCTCCATAGCTCCAAGTTTTAGCATAGTGTTCCTGTAAAGTACCCTTTATCTCCTTAAATGCATACCTCCTTGCATTTCTGCACTGTCCCACACTTGCAATCAAATTAAATGTCTTGCTAACTTTAGCCTTCAATTTCCTCACACTCATTTTTGGTTTCTGGAGAATCTGATTCATGAAATGATTACCTGTCCATTTATAGGTAACAATGGACCTAAATTTGAAGACTCTTGAGCAATTGTGGTTATCAATTAAAGATTTAATCTGGAATGACCTTTCATTGCTCATCCAAGTTGCCCACAACCTAAAGGGACAACCTTTATTCTTCTTGTTCTTCCTACCTTTACAACACTTCACCAGTAACCTGTTATGATCACTTTTTTCATACCACAAGTCATACCCATTCTTCATTGCATCATTGGTTAAATATAGCTTCAATTGCATTGGGTTTGCAAACTTCACACCTAGAATTGGCATCATCTTATCCCATGCTTGGTTCTCATCATGGACAAAGAATACAACCTTCTCATCTTTTCCATCATTAGGTTGATCATCATCACTAAGCTTACCTGAAAGTTTGTTTAAAAAATCATCACCAACAGTTTTGTTAAAGGTATGGACTTCTTCATCATCTTCATGCTCATATGCCATAATACCATCCAAGTTATCATCTTCTTCACTATCATCCTCTTCTACATTCTCATCCTCTTCTTCACTATCATACCCATTACCATCTGATAACACCTCATTTTCAGCCCAATCAAGGATTGGATCATTTTGTTGGTCAATGTAGACATCCAACTCAGCTTCAGGAGTATAAGTAGCTTCAACAAACTCCTAATAATCAGCATCACTGTCGATTCTTATAATACCCTCACTTAAGGTTTCCTTTCTACTACAGTAGTACACATTATCACAACTTCCATTTGTTAAATTCCTAAGCCACAAAAGAAACTCTTTGTAGGAAAACCCTCCAAAATCGACATCACGCACTGTTATCTTTTCGAGGTCTAAGTATTTCAACGGTTTTTGGGCAAATACTCCACCGTAATGAACATCTACAGTTAAATACATACCTGTAGATGATTGGGACGCCATCTTACAGTCGACTTCAATGCGTGATTATGGTGAATTTGGTGAATCGAATCTACAATCGGGAGGTGATTATGTTGAAATTGAACGTATAGAACCCTAATTAAATGAGAAAGGGGAGTAATGGCCACGTAAGAATCCACGTAATTAGCTTTAAATGAGTAACACTGAGTAAAAACGATGCAACCGGTTAAAACGGGCAAAAACAAGTAATAGCCGGTGATATTACCTAAATATGAACATAACTAACAAGTTTGTTCCATTAATGAGAACAAAAAAAATAATATTACCTATATGTGGACAATCGAAATAATTAGTTACTTTCATAAGTCATTTTCCTTAATTAAAACTTGTCCGAACTAATAGATTTTTGTCTTTTATAACGTGGTTAGAATAAAAGTTCTTGTTTTGAATGGTAAAAACGTCTAGCACTGTAGATATCGCTTTACTTGACTAAATCACTCGAACAACCCCATTTGAGACTGTCTATCGTCCAAAAGATTGGGTTACTATAAAAATAGATGTATGATGCTTTATACTTTTGGCTCCAATACATTTATATTTAATGAAAGTAAAATTGAACATCATATTTTATGCTGATCTATGAGATAATTAACATTTTAATTATTATCTTTTAGACAGGAGGTGTACTAATTAACATTTCACTCATTATTTTAAGGTGTACTAACCTTTCACCTTTTAATTATTATCTTTTAGGCTGGATGATGTTCCTAATCAAGTATTTTAAGTTTTGTGACATTACCGGGGCGAGTGTACAAACTTTTGCAGTTTTGCTTCACCTTGGTGTCCGATGATTCCGGTTGGCTTCCATGACTTTCAACAGGAATTTTAGGTTGCTTTTTTCTGGTGAAGCAAAAGTTGATGCAAAAGGTGTTAATCTTTTCGGTTTTGTGGCTAGTTATATGCAACTCACGAAACACCTTTCAAAAGCTTTTGCCGAACAATTCTATAGAAATAAAATATACAGTTTAAATCAGTTTTCAGAAGCTATCAGTTTAATTTTATCAATTAGAGGCATTTTCTTTTTTCTGTAATTTGTTCATTGCTCTAGTGTCTTGATAGTCGCTTATAATAAAATTTGCCGCTCCAAAAAAAGACATGTCATGAACGTTACGTTAAAAGAATGGATGGTTCCTCTTTCTCATATTAACCATTGAAACAATTAAAACACAAACGACCTTACAATCCCACAACACACATATATGCCCTATTTACACACCACCAAAACAAGAAGAATAATGCAATTTCCACATTATAGAAATAAAAAGACATTAAGATCTACGATTCATCGTGGTTATGTACGTACTCCTGTGTCTCCATACATATCGCTAGTTTGACCAGAATTATCAAGTAACGGTGAAGGCGATCCCATAGTTGTTTGCATCCCATGTTCCACTGTCCCATCATTCATCACTTCTTCACTGTTTTTATGCAAGTCATCGGAATTGCCATTTGCTCCGCCACTTGGATTCCCATTTGCTCCGCCGGCTGTATACCCTAAAACGAATTATCATAATGAACAATTAAATCAATATATAGCACAAATCGTCACAAAATTCCCCAAAAGCCTCGCTTTACATGTCAGGTTGCGATTAGGAAAAAATGATCTAACCAGAAGCAATTGGCATAATATTAATGGCCTTGATCACTGGTTTCTTTTTCTTTCGCAAAATGATGAACAAACCCACAGCTACCCAGATGAGAAAGAATATCGGGATCGTAATGCCGAGTACTACTGGTAACATGCTGCTTTTCGTTTTCTTGCTGCGAGTTAAGGTGGTGCTCCCCGGAGAAGTCGAACATGACTTACCGGATGTACACACAGAAGGGTTTCCAGTGACACTGTTCATAATCGGATAAAGAAAATGGAAATTTAAAAATTATTTACAGTGTAAGTAATATAAGAGAAATAACAAATAACAAAGAGAATGATCCAACTTACGTTAATTTCAGTTTGTTGTTCTTTGATAACGAAGTGGGTATGGGTCCACTAAAGTCATTGTCTGCCAAATTCCTATAAAGAAGAGTTAACATTATAATGAGATAAGTTTCTTGACATGCACCATTTGTTTTCACTTGTCACGAAATCATATTTTGGCTTTTGAATTTAGAAATCGTGAGTTCTATTCTATTATTGGAAATTAATTCTAACCAATAATTAATAAATTGACAAAATAGACTTACAGTTGTTGGAGATTAGTCATGGTACCAAAGAAACTAGGAATTTCTCCATCCAAGCTATTATTGTGCAAGTCACTACAAACCAAAAAACACAAATAAAAGTAAACGATAAATTCTGCATTTAATTATAGATTTTCCGATTCTATTATTTAATTAAGAATTGAGATATCGCTTTTCTATATGGAATTTTTTTAAAGCATTATCAATAATCTAACAGGTTACATTAGGTCGAATTTTCAAATGGTCTGATTAAAAAACTAGCAAAATCCGATTGTTAGACTTACATTGTCTGGAGCGCATCCATGGAACTAATGTCTGGAAGTTCGCCCGAAAGCGCGAAGCCATCAAGAAACCTGTAAAATATAAACTTTTCTTATATATAACTCAATCAAGATTCTTTTGTGACGAAAATAAATCCATCACAAATTAATATTGTAAGAGATACTCGCGAAAAGACATTTACAATGAGGTTATGCGAGGTGGTGTCTCGTTGCTACAATTGAGCCAGTCCCATGAGTATGGTGCAGGAAGACACGGGTCACCACTCCATTCTCCCAACACGTCGAATGTGTTTTGTAACAAATATAAACCCTCCACTGGTATGTTTTCCATTCATAACAGGTCAAAAATCAAATCAAACAACATTCAATATACAGATCTAGAAAAAGAAAACATTCCAAAATACTACTCACCATCATTGCTATCAGTCCCATCAGTTAAAAGTCCACTAATATTGAATCCCTCAATGGCGTTTATGAGAGGAGGGAGATCAGAAGTAGTGGTAGCTATTAAAGATATGTTGGTGATGGAATCGACAGAGTAATTATAAAGGTGGCGTTCGAACATACTCCCATAAGGTGGTGAAATTGGATCTGATATTGAACTACTTGATGCAGTTGTCGTCTCGTAAAACCTAAATGACCTCGATTCACCAGTAATGTCGAGGTTGTTTACTTCGGAGAAGTAAGTTGTTATATAGACGAGAGTATTCGATGGGGAAACTGTCGCCAAAAGCAAACTCTCAGCAGTACTGTCTGCTACAATCGCGTTATCAAAAATTCCCGATGGGGGATTATTGGTTCCGGTCGGGTCAACAAAAGTTGCATCACTGGTAACCGCCTTGGTTCCCCCAAGGGCGGGTATCCATATTCGGTCATACGGATCTTGCGGAAATCTGAAATATCAATGTTGTTACAAGTCAATAGTCGGATTGATTACCATTTACCTCCTCCATGTTGTCATGTTTATTTGATGATGTAACGTATATCTTTTCTTTAGATTGAGAAGTTAATTACTTAAAAAGTATATAAGTTCTTCAAAAACGTACCTTAAGGTTCTAGTTGCACCATAGGAAACCCTATTGATCAAGAACAAAGCCCGATTTTCATCGAGTATACTATAAACGTCAGAGTCAACACTACGGACTTCGAGAGCGGACATGAAAGGGAATTGACCGGACTTTGTTTGAGCCACACACACGCTAACGGTGTCTCCTTTTGTAACGTAAGTGACTTCGTACATTTGTAACCCGCTATTCGTAGTCTCGACAGTTGTCCAAAAGTTGCCATCAAAGTGGAGATCAAATGTTGGAGGACTTGACAATCGGTCATAGTTTCCATAATTGAAACTTGCCCGAACTAGCACTTTTTCGCCTTTTGTAACTGGGGTAGAATAACAGTTCTTTTTTCGAGTAGTAAAAACTCTAAGAGAGTCTAACACCGTAGATATCGAGTTAGTTGATTGAACTACTCGAGCAAACCCATTTGAAACTAAAGTTTCATCTGGCGTCCAAACCATTAGGTTACCATCGGTGTATATCTCCGATTCCCCGCAATTTACACTCCAAAACACTAAAATCACATTCAGAAAAAACACGTTTTAACGTTGAAAGGTAAGCATGATACAAGATTTTTAAACCTTAAGTGGTGTGTGTATATAACTTTGTTTATTTATCACCCAAAAAAGATTACGTGATACTTACCCTGACCCGAAACCGAAGATGCAAGTAGGGACAGCAAAACCGAAAACAAAATGAAATGTTCAGCCATGGTTATGAGAGTTTGAAGATTTGATTATATTTGTGAGGTTTATATAGTCGATTTCATAAGTTGACTTTAAAAGGGGAGACTATGGAGGACCTAAATTTTGCTTATCATCGTTTTTGTGTGTGGTATTCGCTGTTAAATGACAACTAATATTCTTCGGTTTAATTTTTGAACAAGTTGGTTAGAGGAAAACCTTAAATTTGCTTACTCTCGTTTGTATGTGTGGTATTTGCTGTCGAATGACAAGTGAGATTGTTCCTTTTTTGGACGTTTCTTTTTAAGGTAATTACACGTGTTGATATTCGATTGGTTATGGGTCGTAAAATTTTAGTCAATCAATCACGTTGACATTAGTGGATGAGTTAACGTTTACTTTGTACTTATATGGAGTCAACTATATGAAAATACGCGCTGTACCAGACCCAGTCGACGCCTCGAACTAAATAAACGAACGATAATTATATAAAAGATATTCTTTATTGTTTTCTATCTTAATAAAAATATTTTCAAGACATCTAAAAATTATGTTGCAAGTATATATTTTTTTTTTCTTAAATCTAATGGAGGGGTTACAGCCAAACTAGTGTTCTGTACAGAAAGGACAGAAAGCTTTGGTTAGCTGGCTGTGTTATATATATAAACAGTAAACTTACAATATGGATTCTAAAAGAAAAAATTACATTTTAAATAATAAAAAATGATTGAAAGTCAACATGAATTCTGAAAAAAAAAAAATGAAATGACTTTTCAAATAATAAATACTCATTGAAAGTATGTTGATTCACTTAGAGCATACGGTGTAGGTGTGTTGCTTCTCGTTATTACCAACGTGGAGGGTAAAAATGGCGTTACAACGAGATCAACCCCTCCCCCCATCTCGTTTATCCTCATTGTGGCATTTCTCGTTCCCAACTCCATCCAATGAAACGAACAAAAAATCGACCGTTACCACTTTAAACCGTTTGAATACGGTTGATTTAATAAAAAATAAAAACTTTAAAATTAATTATTCTTTGCCTATATAAATACCTATTATAACTAAACAATTTTTTAAACACATAACTTCTCTCTTTCTCTCTATAATCTCAATTATCTTCAAAAAAAAATTATGGATCCTTTCGATTCGTCCGATGATTCCAATGACGATATATTCTTCAGGATGATGTATCATTATTATACCAACGAGCTGCTACAACCAGGCTCAGCCCCGTTACGAATAAGACGTGCGATGTTAAACAGAAATCGTGAGGAATGACACGAGCATCGATATCGTGATTACTTTGCAGATAATTGTGTATATGGGTCGAAGGACTTCAAAAGAATATTTCGTTTGAGTAGAAATGTGTTCCTACAGATCGACAACGCTTTGGAAAGTTGGTATCACTTCTTTATTATACTTTTATACAAAAAAAACATTGTAACAGCCCGGATTTTCAGGTATCTTTTATTCGCATATTTTTGGTGTTTTGTGAGGGGACTCGGCGAGTTGGAGCTCGAACTCGCCGAGTAGGGTCGCGGTTCTGGACGCGGGTTCGCGCCTGAACTCGGCGAGTCTAAGGGATGGACTCGGCGAGTCCGCGCTGTTTGATGAAACCGTAATTTTCCGGTCCTAAGCTCTATTTAAAGGACCTTATGGCCCTTCATTGCGGCCACCTTAATCCTTGAGAGCACCAAAGCAGCTAAGGGTTCCTGTGAGTGAGATAAGAGGCTATTGTTCACCAAATTTGTGTGTTTTTGCAAGAAAGGAAGGGGATAAGTCAAGCTAGAAGAGTTGGGAGCTTGGATCTACTTCCATTTCGCCAAGGGAAGCTTCTTGAGGTATCTTTTAGAGCTTATTTTCGTGTTTATGTTGATATGGTCAAATCTAGGGTTTCTTCTTGCCTTATTTGCTTTGTAATTGAAGTGTGAGAGGTCCCATGGAGATATGGTACCTAGATCTGGACCTTAGCAGGTCCAGAAAGTCCCAAATGCTATGCTTTATGTCCTTCCTTTTGGGTTGGAGGCTAGGGTTGCCATATTAGTGATCATTTCTCCAAAAAGAACCTTGTAAGTGTTGCATGGTGGCCAAGACTGTGACTTTATGTGATAAATGAGCTTGGGAGGGCCAGATCTATGAGTTTATGGAGCGGATCTGACCTCAGAAGCAAGTTTGAGTCAATGCATGGCATGGACTCGCCGAGTCTGAAGAACAGACTCGGCGAGTAGCATGAAGATTATCCTTAACCACTTAGTGAGTGGTCCTGCCGAGTTATGGTTGACTCAGTGAGTCATGGGGAGTTAGAGAGGGATTGACAGGTGGACTGAGTCGAGCTGGAACTCGCCGAGTTGTCCTTGCGACTCGGCGAGTTGAGTCGCGATGGCCCTGCGATTCATGACCAGGTGGAACTCGTCAAGTCAGGGGAGTACTCGACGTGTCAAAGGAAATCCTTGCGAGTTGGTGAAAATGCTTAGACTCGCCGAGTCGCTCTAGTGCACTCGCCGAGTCCAGTCAAATTGACCATTCACTGTTGACCAGAGTTGACCGGTGTTGACTTGATAGGGATAGTCAACCTTAGTGGTAAAAGTATTAATTAGAAATATATGATGTTATAGGAGGATTATAGCTTGGGGGTTCGAGCACGAGTGATTTCCAGGGTTCGCGAGTTATCGAGATATACGAGGTGAGTCTTCTCACTATACTGTACCCGGAAGGGTATGACTGTGTGACCGGAAGGTCGAATATGATATGAGATATATGCATTATGTGTGATAAGTTAATCGTTATATGTGTCATGTATGATATGCTTGATATGGGCCGGAAGGCATTATGTTACGGGCCGGAAGGCGAATATGTTATGGGCCGGAAGGCGTTGTGATGTGGACCGTAAGGTTGACGTGGGTAGGACCGGAAGGTTTACCTAGTCGGGACGGAAGTCCCCTGAGACACATGGACCCAAAGGTCAGGGCTTGGAAAGGCATATGTGCGTAAGTTGTATTTTGGGGAACTCATTAAGCATTTATGTTTACAGTTGTTGTGTTATGTGTTTCAGGTACTAGCGAGGACCGTGGAAAGGCGTCGACGTGATCGTACACACACTCGGGGAAAACTATTTTTGTGATCTTTGTTATGTAATCGGTCGTGACAATATTGTTTACATTGGAATCTAAATTATTACTCGATGTTTTGATGTTTGTAAAAATGAAAATTTTGTTTTAAAATTTACATCGTTACAAGTTGGTATCAGAGCCTTGGTTTGAGGGATTCGGGTACACCTTCGGGCGTAATTGAACTCAAACCGGGGATTTGAGAAAATTTTAATTAATAAATCAATAAAATTTGTAAGTGATTTTTGAAACAACCAAAGAAGAAGGAGTGTGTACGGTTAGCCAGCGCCCGAATGGTAAAATCCCCAAAATACTCTTACAATATGTGTTATGAGATATGATATGATATGCATTCTAGTAGACTAGGTATACATATTAGGACTAGAGTGGCCTGATTTGTGATGTCTTAGTCTAGGGAAACCTGCTTCTATGAGGTGCTTTGAGAGCGAGTGGGTAGCTAGTGCATGGCAAGAATAGAGTACTCAGGATCCGGGGTTTGGGGAGGAGGACTTGGGGTGAATGCTGACGCGGTATAGTTCGTAGTATTGGGCCCGTACTACTGAAGACACCGGGTCAGTGGGCAACCCAAGTAAGAATCCCTGGGTATCGGAGACTGAGTAGGACTGCGTTATCGAGTGCGATTATGCTCGATAGAGTCTCTGATATTTTTATGTTGTATTTCAGAGACATCATGGTTGGACCATGCCACAGACCTGGTACGAGTAGTGTGACTAACGAGGAGCTTCGTCAGATGATTCATGAGGACGTAGCTGCAGCGATCCGGGCTGAGATTCCGGATATGTTTGGGTCTATTAAGACCACACTGATGGAGATATTTGATGAGCGGTATGCCGCGTTGACTGAGGCCGCAGTCGCTGCAGCTACCGCAACTGTGGCCGCTGCCAGACCACAGGGAGGTGACTCGTTGTTGTTCCGGGAGTTCAACAACACGAAGCCACCTGAGTTTCACGGGACGCAGGATCCGATTGCTGCGATGAGATGGATTGCTGATATCGAGGGATGCTTCTACACTTGTTCATGTCTGGAGCATCTGAGGGTACGGTTCGCCTTGAACCAGCTCCGCTTGGGAGCAAAGGATTGGTGGAAGTTCGTGACGGCGAACTTCACTCTCGCAGAGGTTTCAGCTGTGACTTGGGAGAGATTTACTGCTATGTTCAGAGTCGAGTACGTTCCCCAGGTGGAGAGGGAACAGTTGGTTTAGGAGTTCTTGACCCTCGAGCAGGGTAATGATTCTGTCACGGTAATCACGCGGAAGTTTCATGAGAGGGCGATGTTCTGCCCCGAGCAGGTGTCCACGGAGCAGGCTCGGATGAGTCGGTATTTGGGAGTGCTGAGGAGGGATATCCGGGAGTTCGTATCGAACTCATCATATCAGACTTTTGCTGAGCTTCAGGTGAATGCCATGAAGCGTGAGATCGAGTTGGAGACCCAGGCCAGGGATGAGGCCGAGTCTCAACGGGTGGATCGGCGGTCGGCTCAGTCTCAGCCGGCAGCCAAGCGGACCAAGTCCGCCGATTCGAGATCCGGAGGTCAGAATGGCCGCACTTGCGGAAAGTGCGGCAAGGGTCACGAGGGGGCATGTCGATCGGGTGCTTGCTACAAGTGTGGCAAGGAGGGGCACATTGCTAGGGATTGCCCCAAGGGATTCATGGTTTGCTTTCATTGCAACCAGACCAGCCACCGGAAGGCCGAGTGCCCTCAGCTTCACCAGGGATCTACGTCTGCTGCCAGGGTTACCAAGATTCGGCCAGTGAAGGCTGAGGCTCCGAAGGCTCGTGGGAGAGCTTTCCAGTTGACTGTGGAGGAGGTCCGCGCGGCGCCTAATGTTGTAGCCGGTATGTATTCTTTCATGTATTTACCTTTATGCTGAGATATTGTGCTTATATTATGATATGCGTAGGTACTTTTCTTGTGAATTATGTACCTGCTTTGGTATTATTTGACTCGGGTGCGAGTCGGTCTTTTGTATCGTTGGCTTTTAGCCAGCACATCAGTATTGATCGGGAGGTGATGAGTTGAC